ACGGAAATTGCTAGGCACTGGTGGAGAGCAATCAGACGGCAAGATACAGCATTTACAACCGTTGCACTCAGGATACCACCACTTGGGACCTAGTGGCAGAGTGCAACTGTGTAAAGGGCTTTACACCGGTTAGGGACAGGAGGCAGATGTTCCCCGTCTGAACGCTGGTGAGTACAACGATTGCAACTGGCACCTATACCGATGTAAAGCCCCCGTCTGAACGCACCCAGAGTGTTGGACTGGATGGGCCACTGGCCTGATCCAACATTGGCTTCTCTTATGTTCTTAAAATGACATGTTTTAAAATACGAACACACAGAAATCTCCCCCCCTTTTTCTAAATTCAAGTGTGTTGTATTATGCTTCCAATCCTTCCCGTTCTGGAGCCCATTTGCAAAATGGGCTCTGGAGAGTCGTTTCGAAATTGTGCTGTCGAGTTCTATTGTTCTCCCTCCCAGGAGGAGGCTCTTTGTCCTTGACTAAGGGCAGGAGAGCTTTCTCTTCAGACTCGCTTATCCAGCTGCAAAAATCTCCATAATACTTTCTCGCTGACCTCCTTCGGCTGCTCTGAGATTTCCAGTAATTAATGTTTGCTAAATTCCAGCGCGTGAGAGAGGGAAGGCGAAGCAAAGTTGAATTGGGAACACTTAAAGCCGGGGACTGCAATCTTTCACAATCAAAGAGGCAACCCGTATCAAAATTCAGAGCCAGAGATTAAGAAAGAGCTAGTTTAAGAGAGCCCGTTTGTATAACTTGTGGCACTGTGAAGGCACTGTCCCCTGTCTCAAACCTCCAGAAGCAGGTGGCAAGAGAGAGTAGATAGCTAGATAGGCACCCTGGCCTTTCCTTCCTGTGTTTACTGAAGAGAAGAAGAAGAAGAGATTGGATTTATACCCCGCCCTTCACTACCCAAGGGAGTCTCAGAGTGGCTTACAGACTCTTTTCCCTTCCCCTCCCCACAACAGACACCCTGTGAGATAGGTGGGGCTGAGAGAGCTCTGAGAGAACTGCCCTTTCCAGGACAGCTCTCGTCAGAACTATGGCTTGCCCAAGGTCATCCAGCCAGGTGCAAGTGGAGGAGTGGGGAATCAAACCCAGTTCTCCCAGATTAGAGTCCGCACACTTAACCACTATACCAGCCTGGCTTTCTGTTCTGCCACCGTTCCCTTTGAAGTGTAGATTGTGCTCTCAGGGACAATTTCCTTCCTTCTGATCTCTCTCTCAGACAAATCTGCCCCTTCTCCCTGCACACACCAAGAGGGATGACATGGTATCCTCTCTTGGCACCATGAGGCAGATGGTCCTCTCGCCATCTGCTTCCATCCTCAGCTGGTAAGTTAGTACCCTATCCATGTTCTTATGCCTCTCGAATAAAGAGAGAAGCATTTCTCTGTTAAACTTGCCATGTGGCTCTGTGTGGCTTTGTAAGCCGAGTGACCTGGAAAAGTGACGCTGCTGCATTTGTAGCTTTATTTTAAGCACTCTGCTAACTAGTGGGAACTGGACTAACCACACCAGTTAACCCCAAAGTAACTGAGGCTATGACCGATGGTTGACCCATCAATTAATACCCCCTCAGGTTACTGTGGCACAAAGCGCTGGTTGCTGTGAGCCTTTTTATTAGGAAGCGGCAGACACAAGATCTCACAGTTAGTTATAGTTATACATACACACACACACATATATATACATATACATACACACACACAGGGGCATTCCGTATAATTGTTTTAGTGCACTGGTGCAAATCTATAGACAGTTGGCATTTGGATTACTAGCAACTGTTCACTTCTGTCATTTCCTTTCTGTAAAGCATTGATAAGAAGCCCTGCCATCCTATAAAAATCTTTCCTTGCAATTCCGTTCATTTACTGACTGGAGTGGGTCACAGGTAGGGTTGCCAGCTCCAAGATGGGAAATATCCAGACCCCACCCGTCTCAGGCTCCACCCCACAAATCTCTGGATATTTCCCATCTTGGAGCTGTATAGATTTGTACCAGGTCACTAAAACAGTCTTATATGATTTGGGACCAACCTACTTGAGAAACCACCTACTCCCTTATGAACCTACCTAGATATTTCCCATCTTGGAGCTGTATAGATTTGTACCAGGTCACTAAAACAGTCTTATATGATTTGGGACCAACCTACCTGAGAAACCACCTACTCCCTTTTGAACCTACCTAACCACTGAGGCTCTGTTTCAGTTGCCTCCACGAGAGCCAGTTTGGTGTAGTGGTTAAGTGCGCAGACTCTAATCTGGGAGAACCGGGTTTGATTCCCCCACTCCTCCACTCGCACCTGGCTGGATGACCTTGGGCAAGCCAGAGTTCTGATAAGAGCTGTCCTTGAAAAAGAGCAGTCTCTGTCAGAGCTCTCTCAGCCCCACCTACCTCGCAGGGTGTCTGTTGTGGGGAGGGGAAGGGAAAGGAGTTTGTAAGCCACTCTGAGACACCTTTGGGTAGTGAAGGGCAGGGTATAAATCCAATCTTTTCTTCTTCTTCGATTAAGTGGGTGGCAACTCACTTGACTGTTTGTGTTTTAAATGATGTATTGTATTTTTATTGTGAATGTATACTGCTTGTCAGTTCTTGGAAGCCACCCTGAGCCCGCCTGGCAGGGAGGGCAGGGTAAAAGCGGGGTAAAAGTGAAATAATTAAATAAATAAACTCAGAAGAGGGCCTTCTCAGTTACGGCACCAACATTTCCCAACTGCCATCTGGTCCACCTGTTCCTTTCTGTTGCCACTTTCTGCTAGCGGGTGAAGTCCTTTTCCTTTGTTTGGCATGGCCTCCTTCCTGCCCAAAGCTTTTATTGGTTTTTTTATGATTTTGTATGTCTATTGTAGCTCTGGTTTTAATTGTGTGATTTTATATTGATTTTAATGGTTTTTACGATGTGATTTTTATCCGGTATGTTTTAATGATTGGGGGCCTTGAGATCAGGGTGTCAGCATACTATCATGTATTGCAAGCAAGATGGCAGCCAGGCTAAGTGAGTCTATTAGATCATCTTGATCTGAAGGTGACAGAAGGAGTGTCATGTGACAGGTCACTAGATCAAGGATTGCATCACTCTGACTACAGTCACAGTGAGTCAGCACTTCAATGTGATTGGTGCTTCGTTGTATATATTCAGTGCACTCTGTATGTACTTCATCACTCTTGTGAACGGGGTTCCTTGCGAAGCACTTTGTCAGTTTGCGCTGAAGAATTGGAGACTACAAGTGCTATATGGCCTGTATGTATATTGATGTAAATAAACCACTGTATATAGTTTCAGCACTAGCCTATTCTGGATTGAATTATTATACGCGCTTCCACTACGCTGCCCTGTGAGGAGAGGCTGAGGGACTTGGGAATGTTCAGTCTGGAGAAGAGGAGGTGGAGGGGGGACAGGATTGCTCTCTTGAAGTATGGGAAGGGCCTGTCCCTTAGAGGAGGGCAGGGAGCTGTTCCTGTGGGCAGCAGAATGGGTTTAGATTAAGGGCGGGAAGGTACTGGCTGGATCTTGGGGGGAAACTTTTTGACAGTAAGAATTGTGCGACAGCGGAATCAGCGGCCTGGGGAGGTGGTGAGCTCCCCCTCGCTGGCAATCTTTAAGCAGCGGCTGGACAAACACTTGTCAGGGATGCTCTAGGCTGATCCTGCATTGAGCAGGGGGTTGGACTAGATGGCCTCTATGGCCCCCTTCCAAGTCTGTGATTCTCTGATTCTAATCTGTTGGCTGCCTTGGCGGGCAGAAAGGCACGTTATACAGTTTTAAAATACATACTTGCACACACACATGGTGGTTCTTTTGGCATCCCATCTATCCCTCCGATGGACCTTAACTTACAGATTTGTTCTCCCCCCCCCTTTTTAAAGAGCCACATTTGGTTCCTTCCTGAGTCACATTGTTCTCTAGAGCCATAGGTTATAGACCCACATGAGTCAGGGGATTCTAGTATTACAAGAAGAAGAGCATCGAAGAGGACACAGAAGGCTACCAACCTGCAGGAGAGGACTTCAAACCTTGCTGGGGGAAACTATCAAACGACGACAGAGATCACCAAAAAAAAGATGCATTTGAGCATTACCTGAATCCCTGGACTGCCGCTGTCTCCTTTGTCACCTTTAATACCCGGTGGCCCCTTGAATTAGAACGTAACAGCAGAGTTATTGGGTATGCATAAATCTTTAAATCAGCACCTGTGTCCGGACTCTTTCATAAACGGAAACAGGAATTGCACGCTTGTAAAACCCCAAATCCTCATGCCAGGAATCAGTAGCCTAAACATACCTGCGCATTTCCCCCATGCTGTTTACACACAATGTTAGGCTCTTTCCCACCTGCACTCACTGATTCTGCAAAAGCTGGTCCTTGGCAGGCTTCTGAAACCGCAGCATGCTAGCTAGGGCCAGATGAAGACAGCAGCGACTGGATTTGTGGCCTCTCTTAAAATATGGCGTGAAAACTTACAATCACTTAGAGGAGGGCAGGGAGCTGTTCCTGTCGACAGCAGAGAATAGGACTCACAATAATGGGTTTAAATGAAGGGCGGGAAGGTACCGGCTGGATATTAGGGGAAACGTTTTGGCAGTAAGAGTCATGCAACAGTGGAGTCAGCTGCCTAGGGAGGTGGTGAGCTTTAAGCAGCAGCTGGACACACACTTGTCAGGGATGCTCTAGGCTGATCTTGCATTGAGCCGGGGATTGGAATAGATGGCCTGTATGGCCCCTTCCAACTCTGTGAGTCTATGATTCTAATTATAAGCACTTATCTTATTGTGATGAATAAATGCAAGTCATACAACAATTTGTGTGTGTATTGATTATGAATACTGATGCAATACTAGGACTGAAAGTTCCAATGCAAATTTGTAAAGACATTCAAGCATCTGGCAACCTGTCACAGCAAAGTGCAAACACTGTCGTTTCGACATTCAGCTCAAGTGTCCTGTTGTCAGAGAAAATGCAGACATTTCATGAGAATCCAGCTGACGGAGGGCTAGCTTGTGAACACTCCCTTTCAGGTATTCTCTTTCATCAAAGCCGGTATCGCTTAAGAATCCATTCATTCAAAATTTGTTCCATTGGTTTCAAAAAGGCATGGTGCACGTCTGTCAGCATAGTGGAGCAAATTTTGAATGAATGGATTCTTAAGTGATAGCAGCTTTGATGAAAGAGGATACCTGAAACAGAGTTTTCACAAGCTAGCTCTCTGTCAGCTGGATTTGCATGGAATTTCAAGCTGCTTCCAAGCAGGGATCTGGAAACCCCTCTCCCATAAAATGCAGCAGCAAGTAGACATGACAAGTGGGTAAGGGAACAGCATCCACACACACGCCCCGTTCTAGCACTGCTCACTGCTGCCAACACCCTGGGCTGCTCCCTGTTTTCTCCCCATCACACCTGTTGAAAAGTCCAAAAGGGAAAGCCCCAAGAACACCATGACCGATTTCCCATAGCCACTGCTCTGCCTTCGCTCCTCTCTTTGCCCCGATGGTACGTGTGACCCAGGGCTATTTTTGGGCAGGAACACACAGGAACAGAGTTCCGACTGGCTCCTGAGTTGGCCACACCCAGCAGGAGCTCATTAGCATAACAGGCCACACCCAATAGCAGGAACTCATTAGGATTGGCTACATTAGGGGTGTGTGGCCTAACATGCAAAGGAGTTCCTGCTACAAAAAAAAGGCCCTGGGTTTTGACAACAAAACAAGGTAAACAGAATAAGAAACAAAAGGTGGGTGTGGCTGGATGACCACACTTCTGGTAACACAGGGGTGTGGCCTCATATACTAATGAGCTGTACTATAAGGGGTGCGGCCTAGTATGCTAATGCATTTCTGCTGTTGGGTATGGCTTATTATGGTAATGAGTTCCTGCTGGGCTTTTTCTACAAAAAAACCCCTGCTAAGGCTGCTTGGAATAAGTTCAGCAACGGAGGATCCCATCAACTTTTCGTTGCTAGGATCCTCTGTTGTCAAACTCATAGGCTCAAGACCTATCAATTCACAACGTTCGCCAAAATTTCTTCGCGTTTAGCTTTCCAAAATAAAGTTATAACTGGTGCCATTACAAGGGCTGGACTCCAACATGTTTTGTCTTCGAGCTCTCTTGGAATTTGCGGAACGGTAACGTAAGCGGATAACATGCTGGCGAGTTAGACCACGTAGCCTCTGCTCCCTCGTTCCTGCTTCCCAGCCGTTGGAAAACACTGGGTGCCTTTATTTGATCGATGAGAGGTCAAATTCTGAGCCACTAAGGGACTATCCATAACCAAAAGTCCTGTCCTTGAAGGCCAGTTCACATGGCGTTCATCCTGATTATGGGATTACATTTTCAAGCAGTTCCTAAATGTGGACCTTCTTAAGGTATAATGTCAAAATATGCAATATATGGCTCTTGCTTCCATATACAACTATAACTCTCCACTCTCTAGGCCAGGGGTCCCCAACGTGGTGAGCCAGTTTGGTGTAGTGGTTAGGAGCACAGACTCTAATCTGGGAGAACCAGGTCTGATTCCCCACTCCTCCACATGCAGCTGCTGGTGTGACCTTGGGTCAGT